TGATTCCTGCCCGATGATGAGGAACAGCGAAGAAGAAAAACCAAGTTGCGCTGATGTTCTACGGAGAAGCGTGACGAGTCTGTCAAAGGCAGAATGGTGTTCAATGGGAAAACGACAAGGAAGTACCTTGGCAAGGACGATTCGAAGAGTCCAACCGTATCCCTTGAGGGATTGATGCTGACAGCAGTGGTGAATGCACATGAGGGACGTGACGTGATGACTGCGGACGTGCCGAACGCATTTGTGCAAACCGAAATGCCAGTTGATTCAGAACCGGTATTTATGAAGATACAAGGCGCGTTGGTGGATATGCTTGTGAGTATCGCACCAGACGTGTACAAGCCCTTTGTGATGTTTGAGCGAGGACAGAAAGTTCTCTACACTCAAGTGATGAAGGCAATCTATGGGATGTTGGTCGCCAGCGTTGCTCTGGTACCGCAAATTCCGAAAGGATTTGGAGAGCATCGGTTTTGTGTTTAATCCCTATGACCCATGTATTTGCAACCGAATGATTAACGGGAAGCAAAACACATTGGGATTCCACGTTGACGATCTGATGTCAGGTCCCGTGGATGCGAAAGTGAACGATGCTTTCTTGGAATGGCTCAACGAGATGTACGGGTCTTTGGGTGCCGTCAAGGCTACACGAGGGCACATTCATGATTACCTCGGTATGTGACCCTAGACTTCTCACAGCCCGAAAGTTAATCGTGGACATGACGATTATGTTGGGAAGATGGTTGACGACTTTTCCATCAAGTTTGACCCCGACGTGACAGTTTCATCACCAGCGGCAGAGACTCTATTCCACGCCTCAACAGGTGAAAAACTGGACCAGAAACGTGCGGAAGAATACCACACATTTACTGCCAAGGGGTTGTTCGTCTGTAAACGAGCACGCCCCGATATTCACCCTACCATCGCCGTGCTTTGCAAGAGGGTACAGTCTCCGACTGAAATGGATTGGGAAGCTTTATTACGTATGCTACATTATTTTGACAGCACGCGTAACGACAAACTTATCCTTTCTGCAGATAATTTGAATGTGATCAAGTGGTACGATGATGCAGCTTTTGCTGTTCACCCTGACTTCCGTTCCCACCCAGGTGCAGTTGCTACTCTTGGGCAAGGTGGTATTATTACCCTGTCGAAGAAGCAGAAGCTCAATACGCGGAGCAGCACAACAGAAGCAACAAGTTTGTTGGATGCACGAATGATGAACCGATCGAAGCAATGTTGTGGACACGTTTATTATGATCTCAGGGTTAGCATGGATACCGTCCAAACAAGACAACAAATCGACGATTCCCAATGGAAAAAACGGCAAGGACATTCTACAAGTCGTATAACGCGAGCTTTGAATATTCGTTATTTTTTCCTACCATGACCAGATACAACAGAGTAATTCTTGTGGTCGAGTATTTGTCCTAGCGGACAAAATATAGGAGAGTTTTTATGTCGAGAGCCCATTGCAGGGACGATCCGCTGCTAATTCAAGAAATTCCGTGATACAGATTATGGGGATTAATGCTCCTCCATCCGATTTTTAGGGATGGAGGCAGGAGTGTGTTGAGTCATGAGTATCCGGGACTGAAATTCGAAATCGACTGGACCACCAAAACGATTCCTCACTTTTCTTTTTAGACTGACTTTTAAAATAGCTCACCATGGCCAAACAGTCTCTCTAGTGTTTAATCAACACGGAGCACCGATCCAGAGCAAAACAAGAGAAAGCTCCATCCGTCAGAAGTAACTTTGTATGATTTGATGGAGCATTATGTAATTCCGATGACGCAAGAGCGAAACTGCAGTTACGTGGAATACGTAGCCGACCCAACCGACGCTAGTGCCCAGGCCCCTTGTTTCATGGTTTCACATGCTTGGAGTGAGCCCGTAATCAACTTTGTTGCGTGTGTTGGACAACATGCTTTTGATAGGGATCTGCCAGACACGACAAGTTACTGGGTGTGTGCCTACGCGCTTCGGCAACACAGTCTATCGACAGAGCTTCAAGTTGCATCGGATCACAAAGATACTCCATTCTACAAAGCCATTCAACATACTGAGGGCGCTGTGGCGATACTTGACCAGAACGGTACAATCTACAGCCGCCTATGGTGTGTGTTCGAACTCGCCGTCGTTTTCACTGATCGAAAGGAACAAAGCCCCTCCTACTCTTACGACATGTACACCCTGCCAGCCCATGGTAGCAATGAAAAAGAGCTTGCTCTCGGGGCTGTCCCCGTTGGACTAACGGAAAGACCCGCCGTGTCAGATTTTCACCCGACCTACCCGAGTGGGCACTTGAACAAGACTATATCAAACGAAACCAGGCAGATTCAAAGACAATCCCGCTTCCCGATACACCTGTGCGAGCAATCGTTTACGCTTCAATTGGAAAAGGCATCAGTCTGGCGTAAAGAGGACAGGTGCTTCATCTTGAACAGTATCACTGGGGAGAGCCAAGACCCCCCACCTCCATCGCACCACGCGTACAGCAACCTGAACCACATCCTAAGGGGTCGGTTTGCTGAGTCGTTGTACCGCACAGCACTGGAAAATGGCCATAGATTGAATGCATATCGTCAGGCTCTCTTGGAGGCCCCCTTGAAGCAATTGGCCTTCGACTTCAAAGGCTGCAAAGCGTTTGGTGCTGAATCCGGTTCCTTCTTCAAGTCGCTGCCATCAACACTGGAATCTTTATCGCTCGATTTAGGCGAAACCACACTGACCACTACAGATGATTTGTGCCGTGTGCTGAAGCGTTTATCCCGTCTCACCAGCTTGAGATTGAACCTCAACGACTGTGCATGGCTGCGAGACAAACATTATGATGTGTTGGTTGCCATTGGCAGTCTTCAACAGCTAAAGGAGCTACAATTCACCATGAAATCAGTGTTGTGGGACAGTCTTGCCATCCCGTCCAGCTTGGATATCGACGGATATCGCGTACTTGCCACAGCCAGTCCTCCTGTATCTCCGACCATGGGTTATGACCTTGGTTGTTGTCTTCATCTACAGAATCTTTTGGTGTTGTCTCTCGATTTCTCTTTGAATAAGGGGCTGAGGAGTCTAGATGCCCTTGCAGACTCTGTTGCAAGGATGCCGTGTCTCCAGGAAGTGCGGGTCCTTGCGCATTTTTGCAAGCAGATCGAGTCCATTGAAGTGCTATCTGAAGGCTTGGGTTCGCTTACCGATCTACGGATTCTGGAAATCGGGTTTGGTTGCACGGCGGTGCGATCCGTGGAACCACTGGCACAAGTCTTATCCAAGCAAAGATCTCTGAAGGAGCTTACGCTGGACTTTGCAAACTGTGACAACCCATTCCCAATAGGACGAGTTCTGCATGCCATCCAATCCAATCGCTTGCTTCACAATCTTGAAAAATTGGAGCTGGACTTTTCGCAGAAGATCGCAAAGCAAGAGCTCCCTCCGACGCTGCAAAACTCTGGAGGCGACGAGAACAGCAATGTTGACCCCTGGGACCCATCCGGGCCTGCGGACGGCAGTGAGGTGTTACGCATGGAGTTTCTCCCAACCAAACTACTGCAAAACCTCAAGATTCTACGAGTAAGACTGAATGGCCGTTCGATAGCTTCCCTGGATGGGCTGGTGGAAGCTTTTGGGAACATTCAACTGGGCAGGATGAGACGGCTCTGGGGGTGGCTCTATTCTTTGCTCCCACGACCACTAAAACACGGGAGATTTCTTACCCAAGAACTAACCAGCGCGTACTCTGGAAATCAATTTGATGTTCTGGAGTTGTCTTGTCCAGGTAGCACCTTTGTGTGCAACGAGTCAAAGTACCATGAGACTATCATTATGTTCTACGAGACACTGTCCAACCTAAAGATCCGTGCGTCGTCTCTGCTGCTGAAATTCCCGGGCACAGAGGCCGTGTATTCTATCAAAGGCATCCGTCCTGCACTGTGGATAGCAAAGGGCAAAAAAGAACAGAGGGAACAGTTCTTGGCCAAGATGTTTGGTCACTCATCGCATGATTCTTATTCTTGGTTGGAGGGAAGGGGTGACCAAGACGTTTGGCCACTTATCGATGATTCCGATTTTGGTTTGGAAGATGTATAATCAGGTCAGAGGTTCCTTCAAAAGATACAAGACCGGCTGATGTGAAATCTTTCTTCTGCAGGTAGGTGCCGTGTTTCCTTTTTTGACCTCTCACTCTTTGCGGTCGCTCCACCACCTTCGAAGATTGGTAGTAGAAATAAATGTAATTCAATCCCAGAACCCAGTGGTACATGAGGCCCTGAAGGCATGCTTTGGCAAGCGACCCAAGGAATCCTAGCTAGCTAGCTGGGGAAGATATCTAGTAGCAGTGTGCACCCACACACGTACATTGGATAGAAGTCGTCTAGCTAATCTATTGGGACCGCTCAAGCACTAGACGGCGTCTAGCTAGTTGTCCGTGATCCAAGTGTGGACGATTGATGGATTTATCAAAATCTGCATTAGACTACGTTACGTTGTGGTGGTAGTCATGGATTGGAGATGACGTCCCGATGCATCCCAAGTCACATGGATACTCCCCACGGCCAATGCCGGAAAGGCGTAGGTGCAAGCGTTTTGTTGTTTCAAAAGCTGAATGGCTCCCAAGGATGTCAAGAAGGAGTGAATGGCGAGGGGAATATCCGTGACGGCATCCGTTTCGGTGACAACCGTAAGGGTATCTCGTATCAACGACGGGGCATCCCGCACCACCAATGGTGGAAACTCCTCGTCGCAAATCGCCACAAATAACATGCCCGTGCCGGTAGGAGCCGTAAACAAGGCGTGGGCTCCTGGCATGTGCGTACATGCCACACTGGCTAACTGCCAACTCATGTCGCTATGCGGCAGGGCGAATTTGGGAACTTGAAATTCGGGAATATTGTGCAACGAGTGTTTGGCGGCAATGACTCCTTGCACCAAATCGGGAGGTGACAACAAATCGTTGGCCCATCCCCACTGCCACGATTGTTCCATGGCGGTGCCAATCAGTTGAATGCTATAGCCAACATCATTGTTATTGTTATCGTTGTTGTCCAACACCAATTTGCCATAGTGGGGATGCGAGGGATCCGTGACGGACAGACTCCAACTGCGATCACCAATGATCCGTTGCACATGGAGTTGTTGATGGTGGGACAGTAGGTACGTTTCGTTGACTTTGGTCTGAAACTCGAGAGAGGGGATGGAGGATGTCATGGCGTCATCGTGATAGGTTTTGTTGTGCTGGTACATGTAGGATAGGAACGATTGATGTCCTTCCTTGTTAGTATTTAAGTATGTGCCTTCCGTGCTTCCGTGTATGCATACTCCTCTGGTTTCTTGAAAGCTTCAAAAGCGCCGTTCGGAACTCGGTCACTCGAAGGAGAATTGAGTCAGCGGGATTTCTCGCGTGAATGAGGAATGTTACTCAACGCCAAAGAGTTAAGTGTAGGACATTCAGTCATGTGCCATTTGTAATTTGAGGCAGCCGAGCTGCTTATTTAGGCGAGCTGCCAGCCAATAGTGTCCTGGTGACGCGTTTTTGGTGAATACCGTACGGAAGACACCAAGCTCTCACAACTTTTTCAAATCAAAAAAGAGACCGTCACCATGACCTCGTCCAGACGATATAGTCACCGACGGATACCACTAGCAGCCCGGTGGATACTACTACTGTTATCCGTATCGATACATTGTCGTGCCGAGGTGCCGAATGGCTACGAGCATGCGTTGGAGGTGACGCGACGGTTATCCAGAGTGGATGCTTCGCAATGCGGTGCCAATATTGGGGAAATGATAGCCTGCTTCTTTCTTCAATGCTCGGATGAACCGTGTACTAGGCAAACAACAGATGGTGCGTACAAGACAACACACGATCCATAGGCGTCGTTCCTGTCCTTTAATGATATTTGAATGATTTGCTCATCTTTTGTTTGAATTTATTATTTTTTTGTGTTTGTTCGACTGTTCCAGTGACAACTCCCACGGACGGCCAAGAGACTTGCCAATCGTTGGAGTCGGAAGTCTGCAATCTGATTGACGCCGAATGCTGTCCTCCTTGCAATGAGGCAGCAGGAGCCTATCTGAGCTGCATTTTGGCTACCGACGAGGAGTGTCCCGATTCTTCCTGTGACGCCTACACGATCGTCAACGATGAATCAGCTTGGGAAAAGAGTAATAGCACCAATACCACCAGCAGCAGCGATAACGACGAAATGATGCTGGATGATCCTCCATTTGGAGCGGGACCACCGGATAATATTACCGACAATGGGCCACCCGACAATACCCCTAATGGGCCACCCGATAATACACCGAATGGGCCTCCTGACGATACACCTAATGGACCTCCTGACGATACCCCTAATGGTCCTCCGGGTACTAGCACGGCCAAATCAGGTGCCACAACAACCAACAACATCCATAAAGCCGAAAGCGACAATTCGATGGCTGCTTCAGAACTGGATGTTCTCAGTGTCTGGACTAGTGGGGCCACCTCCATTTCATCAACTATTGTTGGTGTGGTCGGGGCGGTGGTTGTCATAAACGTGCTGCTGATATAGCTAATATGGAAAGCGTGTGATTGATACTACGTTTGGGTTGTTTCTGACTGTCGACATGACTACGAACTTGCGTACGGTACCATCAGGTCTATGTTGGGCCTGCTAGATTGTTGAATAAAGAAAAAATTGTTCCATTATTCATTTGTCATCACGGAGGAAAGATATACTTCGTTCGAATACTCGTTTTCCCGCCCTCGGCTGTTGTTCTGGGTCGAACCCTCTAGCCAGAAACGCCATTTCGAGACCTTTCGTTCCAACAAAGCACCGCCGGTTTAGCCCCCCCCCCCAGCTGACTTACGAGTACGATACCCGTATCGGTAGTAGACGAGTTTCGCACTCACTCTGCCTCCAAGCCCATGTGTGATGGGATTGGCTGTTGCGAAATGCCCATGTTGTCTGTCGGGATATACATGTAGCCAAATAAATAAGCGGCTTGGTTGACTCTTTGCACTCGTGTTGGGTCCAAGCGATGTTCAAGCCCAGATACTGGGCGGTGTCAGTGTCCACAAGACTAGTACGGTAGACACTCCTTGCTAGTACCAAACGATGGCTGTTGTTACATATTCCTACGGTTGCTTCGCTCAACGCACATCAAGCACCATGTCCCCAAGCTCGGGATCCCAGCAACTGAGCCCTGTCCTGAGTTTCGATCGTCGTTCCTAGTAGTACTAAGCTTGGGCCACTGATGGCTTCGTACACTCTCGATATTTGCAGTACGCACAGCTACCTAGCTATTCAGTCGCCCAAGTTCCAGCCACTTCCAAGTCGTTGATTACCTTGGCGACTTGACGTGGGCGGACGTTGTTTGTGACTCGACTCGTCGACCTGGTACCACCAACCGGTTGCGGACGCGGCCAGCCAGCTATCACAAGATTTGCGTGGGCTACCGTACGGTACTCGAGTACTAGTAGCTTGTCGTACTGTGGACCTCCGCAGCATTGATCGTAATTGCCATTTTGGCTAGCTGGTCGATCCTTCCCGTTGACGCCACGTAGCCATGTGCGCTCAGCTTCTGTTATCAGTTCTTACTTGGTCCAGCGCACTGCCCAGTCCTTTTGCTCGTTCTGAATGGACAATGCATGGCGCAGCTAGATGTAGCTCGTCCCCGTTTTCGTTCGCAATGTCGTCGTCGACCTGGCAACGATCAGTACCGGTACCGTCTGCACCCCGCCCGGACAGCACAAAGAGCACGGCGTGACCTGCCTGTTGCCCCACCGGAATTAAGGATTGAATCATTCGATATTCGATGCAATCGAATCAATCGAATCGAACGGTGCACCTTCCTCGCTCGTGACATGGTTTCCTTTTTACACCAACGCCACCTTCGAACTCGACCTTCCAATGCACGTAGCTGGCATCTCCAATTGCTACTCCGGCTCGTGCAACCAAAGATTAGATCCCTTGAGTATCGGCGTGGACAGTGGCTGAGGCCTTCCTGGTTCGTGGCAAGTAGCAATCTATCTTCTTCGGATGCTTCATTCGCTCCGAACCCGCCCTTTAGTAGGACATAAAGGGGACTATCCTTCCCATTGCACATTGCACACACACACACACCACCAACAAAAAAGAATCAAGAACGGTGGTTAGAACACCGATCGCAACTCTTCTTCGGGTCTTTCTCAGTTGCTCCCGGTTTGCCTGGAGAGACCGTACAGTTCCTGGTGCACAGCAAGGAACAAAAAGAAAGGCACCCAAGCAAAGAATTTGCTTTTCCGGCTTCTTGGCTTGAGGATAACCAACAACTAACTTCCCTACCGGTACTAGTGAGTCCTTTATTTAGACCACCACTTTTTTCGTGTAAGAAATCAGGACTTCATACATACATGTAGACTAGCTAGTTCGCACGCCGCGTTGGAAGTTGCTGCTTCCGCTCAGTCAGAGCCACTTCCTTCAACCTGGAGTTGCTTTTCATCGTCAACCAAGCGCTCGCAACTAAAACCGTTCTACCAACGAATATCCAGGGACAAAAAGGTTGACCAGTAGCTACAGGGAAGGTTTTGTCAACGCATAGCTTTCACTCCTTGCTTTTTCTTCAGAGATTCGGAGCAGCAGCGGCAATGGAAAGTGGTCAACTCCAGTAGCTGGCCGAAGGTGTGTTTTACTAAGGTGCCTTAACAAGAGGTACCCCTGGAGCAACACGACATGTGCTCTGTTAATTAAAATTGTATCTAGCGAACCTCCGGTGAGCTCCCAACGAGTCCCAAGGGTAAAGTGATTTAAAAATCGTATGTTGCTTTCGAAGCCCAATGTTCTAAGAATGACCATTCGTGACATCTTGTTGCAAGATCACGAGGATCCGGTCTGTTCTTTGTGACTCGCCCCTATTGCGGTATCCGGTACGAGGGTACCTGGTACTCATACTTAGTACATCAGAGCTGTACATGGTGCTGGTACAGTACGATACCAGTACCGGTACATGTGCAAGAGGGGCAATACATGAGTATACATGACACTTTACACACTTTCTTTTTACTTTTACAGTGTGGATCAACCGTCACGAGCAAGCAAGATACTCAAAGAAGCCCCGTTCACCAGTCAAAGCCAGCTCTGACTCGACTCTGGCCTCTGGCTACATGTACCGTTCCTTGCTGGAACAATGCATAGCTGCGTAGCTGAAAGAAACTCAGGAAAAGGTTTGCTTCACACTCTGATCGCCTTCAATCTTCTCACAATTCTCAGCCCACAAAAGCAAAAGCAAACAAGCAAAAGCAGCAAGCACAGCACCACGCTCCTCTCGACCGCACACCTTCAATCAATCAGAATCAACCAATTACACAATGGTGAGCCAAAGCAACAGCAATATGGACATGGACCAATTCATGACCGACTTCCTCGAGGGCAAGTACTTGGATGACCAGCCTGGAGCCCCCACCCTCAAGAGACATTCTTCCGCTTCCAACTCCAAGGCTCGAGAAGAACCAAATTCTCGCGGCATTCGTCGGACCAAGACCAGCGATGCTTCTGGTCAACCTCGTAGGGCCGTGCCCCGCCGAACCAAGTCGGGCGACGAAATGGTAACTCTTCGTAGAACCAAGACGGGAGAGGGTGCAACTCGTCGCGTCTCTCGTATGAGCCCCGTTCCTTCTCGCCGCAGTTCCCGCAGTCCTGGCCCTCGTCGCAAGAGCAGCAAGGATCAAGAACAGATGGACCCACAGGCAGTCTTGCGCATGATGGAGATGTATGCTGACTTGGACAACTCGGAGAAGGCCGACGAATACCTGCACTATGGCTCGCAAAAGAGTCATGGCTCCAGGGGCAGCAGCGGCAGGAGGACCCCTGCTAGAACCAGTTCCAAGGATAGCTTCCCTACTTCGATTGTCATTGAACCACAGAACATGAACGACTCTTCCATGGCCGCATAAGATATCATTGCTTCGGGATACACATACATGCGCACAAAGAGACTTCAAACTTCAAATTTAGCTTCCTTCACACTCAATAACTCTTTAGAAAGAACAGATTATCAAACTTGTCTTCCTCTCTCTTGCTAGCCACTGCTAGCTGAAGATACTCGTGTCAAACAGGATACCGGTATACGTGGACGGTGTCGAGTACTAGTACTTTGGAGGCACTTGGCTCTGTAGGCTTCTAAAGATTTTTCGTACCACCGCTAAAAGGTTTGTGGGGAGCGCTTGGCTTTCATGGCTCTTTCTTTTCACTTTTTGTCTTTGACTGTACTTGACGCTGCAGCTGCCAAGCCCCTGTGGTCCAAGGGAGAAGGTAAGGTTCTTGCACCTTTTGCTTGGCTCTGCGTGACCATTATTGCATCCATTCATACAATAATTGCTAGCTAGACGGAAAACTCTGGACACCAGGCGAAGTGAAAACGCTCTAAAATTCTACGTTTTGCTTTCAGTGCGACATTATCACCGGGACCCTGTTCTTGAGGAATCGAAGGCTTCTTGCTAGCTCTAGAGCGAAGAAAAGAACCAATCAGAGTAGCTAGGCATTGTTCTGCTTGAGTTAGGTATCACATCCACAGCAAAGACATATCGGTTTGATTCAAACTGATGGGATTACATCCGGCCTCTGGTTTGGTCCTAGTATGGTCAATGAATGCTCCATTCACAGCCACAAAGCAACTGGGTACCAATCCCATCAAGGAGCACATAGACACTTCCTCCACATGTGTCCCAAAATTGCCAATAGATGTCCCCCCTCCCACGAGCAACCAGACATATGGCGCACAACGTTGAGCGACGGACCATGGCAAGGGATGGGCAGAAACAGGCTAGCTATGGATGATCAATCGGAGTGACAGCCTAGGCTAGCTTTAAACTGTGGATCACGCCAGGCGGCTTGCTTCGCTGCATAATAACGAACACTAGTCTAGTCTAGAGATGTGAAAAAAAGTGTTACTGTTTTGAATGTGGTACCGGTACTGTCAATGGTGCCCAAGCTGAGAATTGATTGAATCCCAAGAAAACAGTAAGGAGCACCCGGGGTCAGAGCAGCCTCCGGGAACTCTTTACATGGGTATTCCGACTTCACACAGTTGCCTCAACAAGAGTGCAACAAACTCTGTCGTGATGCGCAGGACGGATTGAGGCTTCAAATGCTCGTCATGAAAAGCGACGGATCTTCGGGTAAGTCTGCAGCCTCAAGGATGTTGGGAGTGGCTGTGTCGGGGGACCTCTCTACAGAAACTGCAGGATGAGGGGAACAACATGCGATAGAGAAAGACGGAATACTGTTGGCATCAAGCTCACTTGGGCTGGCTGACGAAACCACCTCCATTCCCAAGTTCTGAATGAGTGTATCCACAAAGTGTCTTTGCATTTCGTCCGTGGGTGCCTTTTCTTTGAGCGCTTCCGCCAGCAATTTGGCCTGTTGCACAATGTACCAGGGATGTTTGGTAAGAAGGTTCTCGGTGCCACCTTCCGAACGTTTGTTGATACCCACTTCGACTCCATTGCACACACTATTGTTGACTTTGACTGGTGTAATTGCATGTAACTCGAAGCCCAATTTTTGGCCGTTGAATCCAATACCTGTCGTTGCATCTCCTTGTCGTCGACAGTTTGTAGGACAAATCCTGCCAAGATTGCACCCTTTTGATCCATGGACGCCACTTGGAAGGTTCGTTTGCCATGTTCAGCAGCACTAACAACGGCAATGGGGAGGTCGTCGATTGAGTTTGGATTCTTCGGTGCCTCCATGGGGGTCGGTGGTGACACTGCACAGGGTTTCTTGTGCTTGACCGTTTTCGTTTTGCGTGGATGTGGAGGAGTTTTAAATGTAGGAAGCAATGATCTGTCAGCGTCCTTGTGCTTGGTAGAAACAACACTGTTGGAAGCTGGTGTTGGCACCGATCCATTATTAGGATCTCGAGTCCCCGAAGTGGCTGCAGCCGTGTCGGTGGCATAGGGAAACCCAGCGGGATCGTTCCCATCAGTGGTGACATCGGAAGTAGCAGCTTGTTGTGTCTAGTCGCCTGGGGAAATCTTGCAAAGGAAGTTATCCATCAACGGATTATTGTTTGTTGATACAGGGGAAACAATATTCTGAGGCATCTTTTGTGTGGTATGTAGGGGTGTTTACCCTCGAGGTGCTTACCGGCCGCGGCGCTTCCTTCTTTGCCCGATCAATCCCTTTCGGCGGCTCCTCTTTGGCTTGGACCTGTCGGCAATGATAATCGCGTCTTTATCCATGCTACTAAGATTGTTTTATGATGGAAACAAGGAAACCATCGACGAGGGAAACTGCACCGACCAGAATTCTCATGTTGCATCCGCGCCATTCTGAATGAGAAACCTGGATTCTTGGCTCGACAACTAATTTTGTAGCATCACAGGATAGTTTTGTATGAGCTTGGAAAGCCAGTCAGCTTGAGATAAGGCTCGTTCGTCCCTTCCACTGTATGAGCCAAAAGAGCTGTTTACAGGTTGACTCCGTTGGAGAGCGCCCTTCAGACTCTTAGTGAATGGCACAAAAGACCCGTCAAGGTGGGTTCGAGGGTCCATGCTCTACAACCAGGAACCAAGCCTTTTAGTTATGTCGATTACCAATTACTCCTCACAGTAGTTTATATCGAAGTTGCTAGCTAGGAATGGTTGGGATGACACCAACCTTCAGTTCTTGAATTGATTCGCAACTGTTGAAGTCCTCTGAACCGTCGTACTCTTCCAGGCGGGCTTCCAGTCGAACATCCGACTAGATGCATGACACCAGCAAACTCGATCACCAACATCATCAACGTGCCGGCTATATCCGCAAATGCCACAACTTTGAAGGTCACGAAAGGCATTCTCCCAATCAAAGTCAAGGCTGCAAGCATCGCACCAGCAAACTCGGTCACCAAAAGCATCCAAGTGCTGACTACAACCACACCATTTGCACCCAAAGCCCTTGATTTCACTGCTCTCATCCTCACGGGCGTCATCTCTGATGGCGACGGCGCTGCATCGCTCATCCCAGCCGCCGACTTCTTGGCAATGGGAAGATCCGTTCCAATCAAGACTTGTGTCATACCCTTTGAAGGACTTGCAGCTTGATACCATGCTTGATCTTCCTCTGAGGCGGCGAGGTACTTTGGGGTGACTTCTCCTTGGCTTGCCACATGTCCAGCATTTGTTTCCAGCGTTGAAACCATTACACGAGCACCATTTTCCGCTGCTAACCTTTTTGTTACCACATCGTTCGCAGCCTCTACGTTTGCGTCTCTTGCCGTCGCATTTCTTGGCCATGGTGAGTAAGAGTATTGCGTAATGCATATCATAGTACTGTACCAGGTATCATACACCTTTCTGAAGATCCCAACATCCCAACTTCAGGTTTTGAGGTACTAATAGCCCATCTCGAGACGAGGTCGATTTATCGAATACTGCTCGATTCATCCAATTCGATTCATTCATGTTAAATTCGATTCGATTCAGCTGATTCGATTCCCGCTTGGCGCAGCTGTCGTGATCACGACTTCCACAAACCTTGAAGCTAGGTAGCTTAGGTAAATATTGGGTTGTTCAATATTTTTAATATTTATATGCAGGTCTAAGGTTACCCCATCTCACTTAACTCAATGCTTGACAGCAAAAAGATCGAAGAATTTTCTCTCACAAATCATAGACGACTAACCAAGAAGAGGAGGAGCGACGATACAATTTGTGGATCAATCAACCATGGCTCCACTCCAAAAGGACGAAGCAGTGGTTGCCACTTCCTTGTCGATTTCCAACGACGACTTGGTGGCGGAAGCATGGAAGCATGTGGCGTTTCTGCAGGGTTTGCACGAGCTTTCCGTGACGTTGACCAAGCCGTCCCTCACGAGTTTGGATCGATATCTCAACTACTGGCTGCCTTTGGTGTCGGCTCACATGGATGACGATGAAGACTTGATTCCAGCCCCCGATATTGCTTGGCTGTGGCATTGTCATCGCTTGGCTCCGGCTCGGTACGAGCGTCACGTCATGCATCGCTTCCACAAATTGGTGGAAACTCCCCAGAATGCTTTTGATTTTCAAGTTGAATCAGATGAACGGGTGCCAGCTCAAGGCACACGCCGTTTGTGGCAAGATCGATACCCCCACACTCCCTTTTTCTTGTCGGAAGTAGCTTTCGTGGATGACAATCACAATGACGACAAAAAGTCGGGCGACAACATTGATGTGCTTGCCTTTTTGAAGGAGTTTGAATTGATCGAGTCCACCACACGCCAAGCCACCTTTCTGTGGCAAGTCTCGGGAGTTCGATATTGCGACGCGGACTTTTTGCATCAGGGGGCAGCGAACTATATTCAATTTCTGCAACTCTTTGGACAACAAATGCAGCAGCAAACAACCGACAAGGACAGTAGAACTCCTCTGGTTCCTTCCTATCAGATTGATCTGCTGTGGCATACCCACATGTTGAAATCCATCCAGCTCTACAACCATGACTGCATTCAGAGTGCTGGACAACGATTCAATCATGACGATTCCCTAAATGATCGAACGGAAGGAGGAACGTTGGACAGGTCATTCCAAGCCACATCCAAGTTGTGGAAGGATGTCTACGGCACAGGTGAGTGATTTGATTTGGCGGGTTCCCCATCATGTCGGGGATGAAGTATCAGCTAATCATTTGCCTATTATTATTAGACTACGTCGTGCAGGGAGGCATGTATAGAGGGGAACCACCATCTGACTATTGGGATCCCAATTGGCAGACGCTCCAAGATGAAGAACAAGCCAAGAAGATGTTGCTACTGGCAGGTTCCTTCTCCACCGGCAAAATGGCGCCAGGCAATGTCCCCCTCAAGTGGCTCAAGGCCAATACATACATTACGTTTGAAGGACAACCTACATTCATTGCTGCCAATGCCCGCAGCCGAAAACACGGTGTCAACAACAATGAAATAAAGGAAAATTACATCTTTGGAGAGCCACAAAAAATTGCAGGACTCGACCAAAAAGGTGTTGGCTACTATCACATGTACACGCGGGAAGGATGGGCCATTATGATCAAGCGCTTGGCGAAACGAGAAGCCAGAGCCCGTTCCGAAATGGAAACTGTCATGTGTGAGAATTGTGCCTGCGGAAAACCCCAAAAGCTGTCACCCCGGGCGATGGCACGGTACGAAGAAAAGGAAAAGATTGCCAAAGACACGAACGATCTCGTCATGTATGCCAAAGCTCAGTGGGAACTGGATGGACCTGGGAGGGAAATCACACCAGCTCTGGTTGAAAAGTTTGGTTTGGATGGGCGTACAAAGCCCCGCGATACAATCTATCGGGGTGATGGTAGACATGGTGATTATTACCTGTTTTATTACCATGGCGCCGCCGCATGTGGTGGTGGGGTTACCGCTGGTGTTGGTGGTGGTGGCGGTAAGTTCAAAGGGTGGAGTCGCTGGGCTAGCTAGAAGCCCATGCATGTAGGAATGAAAAGGAATGCTCATCAAATAAATTCGTTGCCATGCATTTTTATCTGGCAAAAGGTTGCGGAGGCGGCGGAGGTTGTGGTGGAGGAGGAGGTGAGTGGCTTGTAGTTTCTTGCGTGCTTTGAATCGAATCGATGGACACGGTGAATTTCGACGCACGTCTAACCTGATTGCGGTTCTTCTAGGATGCGGCGGAGGTGGTTGTGGAGGCTAGAACGAATTCCTCGCAACAACAACAATAAACATCATGCAGTAGCCTAGCCCTCTTTTGTGTTGGGTTGCAGTATCCAGGCAATGGCCATATTGTGGGAGTGAATCAGCCAACCCAGCTTGATGGCAATAAACCAGATAAATTTTGTAACCAGATACGTAGGTGTACTAGTAGTATTCCTTTTCGCAAGCAAGGAGTGAAAAATGCGGCAAAGCGGCAGCAAAGTTGCTCTGGTCTCTAGTAGTGGCAGGGCTGTAATTGGATAGGTCTTTGAAAGATCAAGCGGCTAGCTAGCTAGCTAGCTAGATAGCTAGAGGTACGTGATGCACGATCTCCCGGATGATGCACAGGTGCAAACTGGACATAATACATGAATTGCTCGGCTGGAAGGGTTTTCATGCTGCTCCAGCCTGACCAGCGACTTTTGTACGCTAGCTAAGTAGATAAGTAGCACTGTTGGGAGTCTATTGCAGAATAAAGCTGGAGCTTCATGATAGGGTTGTCAACCGCGGACAATAATGGCGGTCTCAAGTTTTCCGGCCGAACGACTGGCTGGTGACCAGATCCAAGTGCTGGTCTGGATCTGCTTGCTTTGCTTCCTCAATCTTTCTTGGGGCCCGGTATCATGCATTGCTTGCAGCCTTTGTCTTGTCTCTTCCCCCAAAACAAAGAGCGTCCCTCTAGAGCTAGCTTAGCTACCAATAGCTACATTATTTTGCACGATAGCTACTGTTCCTGCAGCTGTGCGGTCCTGTCTTTGCTAATCGTCCTTGTCGCCCGGCCCGTGTCTCCGTTGGAAGTGAAAGGAACCGATCAAGTGGCTGAGTGGACTCGACTCGCTTGACTCAACCCGAAACAGGCAAAATTTCGATTGACCGTCACGGTGCTCGAAGCTGGCGCTCCACCACTCTGTCATTTTTTGTCTTTTTTGTCACCGGATGCTACCGAATCCTCCCACCATCCCACTTTCTCTCTCCCTCTACAGTGTATCACTCCATCTCAATGTGTCTAGTAGAAGCCATGAGTGTTGTTCAAGATCATCAACAACTGGCCCCGCGCAGATTCCACATGGGCAAGGGTCCTCCTTCCTCTCCTAATAATAATAGTAAAAGCAAGTCGACAAAATGGCTGTGGCGTCGAGTATGGTATCTCAAAATGACACTGTTGGCGTTGGTTGTTGGGTACTGTTTTGAAGCCGACTTTAATTTCAAGTTTCTCAACAATGAAGTCATGCCTGCTTTGAAGGGTCAACAATCGCAACGGTCGGTTTCTGGTACTACTACTGCTCAGAATGAGAATAAGAAGAAGGACAAGATGACTGCCTCTGATAAGAGACTCATCAAGCAGCAAATTAAAAAGAAAATGGAGAGTGCTGCTGCCATGGGCAACAAGACGAAAACTGCTGATGCTGCTGTGGACAAGAAAAAGAAGAGGGCCCTCAGACAACCACCACCACCCCTCAAGCTCAAGGTCCCGTTTGCGATTCCCACGAGCAATACTACAACTAGCAGTATCCCCGAACGGCAAAGGGGTCCGGAAACGCGACAGTTTGGAGGTCAAAGTATGAACGCCAAGGACAAGGCAAGAGCCAAAGACTTGCTGAGGGCGACCATGGAACGACACCAGAAGCGGACAAAGCGCACAATGCCCACCTGGCCGGAACAAGGACTTGCTCCTCTTGGTAAAGGTGGTAAGAATAATAGCACCAAGGGCAAGAAGCGACAACCCGTGAGACTCGAAGGACGCACCAACATTCTTCGCTATCGACGACAATATCTCCTCCAATTGGCACGACAACAGCAACTGGAAGGCAAGGAACTCAACATTACGGGAGGCACACTCTTTTTGGGCAACAACACCACCACTGCCGAAATTCTCAACCAGGATCCCCATGCTTGGAAAGGATACGACAAGAATCGCCTCATTACGTTTATTCATGTCGGCAAGGCGGGTGGAATGACCGTCCGAACATCCACCGTATTGGTCTGTTTCAATCATGCCGCCACCATCAAGAACAAGAATTGCACTCTGAATCGATTCCCACCTTCGGCCGTATTGTCCAATCAATTGCAATACGTCTGGCACATGAATCTACACGAACACAACTTGTTGGAAATGAATCGCAGTACCAGTTTGGTCGTGTCGTTGCGCAATCCCGTCGATCGCTACATTTCCTCGTATCGCTATTCCCATCCCCGCAATTGTCACAAGGGGCTCGGATGGAGTTGTCGCATTCGCAATGAAACGCATTTCGAAGGAAATCCTTCCCACATGATGTTCAATGTCTGTTTTCCACTGCCACACATGGAAGAGTACGCTCAAAACACAATGTCTCCCTATCCGGCCTTTTGGTTCAACAACAACAACAACAATATGACTGGGAACATGACCACGATGACTGGGAATACTACTCAAAACAACAACAATTTCAACAATTACAGGAATAGCAACATGACAAAGGACGAACTCGTGGAGCATTGTCGCATGCTGGCTACACGACAAGCGCTTGGCAGAGGACCGGGACGGCCCAATCCACATGCCTACTACAATTATCGGTGGTACTATACCCATTCCGTGAAACGATTCCAAGACAAGGAAGTCTTTGGCATTCGGACCGAACAGGAATTGCAAGATTTGCGCGCATTGGATGTGGCCATTGGAGGTGCCGGCGAAATTGGAGGAGATATTGTCTCGCACGGGAGTGAAAACTACGCACCGTCGCCGCTCACGCCAGCAGCCTACCAGAAACTCTGTTGTATGATGGAAGAAGATATTGTGTACTATGAAAAGTTCCTCCAACTGGTCATTAACTTGAATGAAACGGAAAAGATGCAGGCCATGGAGAGTGTCAAGACAAAATGCAATATTACTACGACCTGGGAGGAATGGAGACAAGACTGTCAAGCGCACACTAGGATGGACAATCACACGGGACCAGACAATCCGAAAAAGTACAATTTCAAGAAAATGTCGGACTTTTGGCATCCTCCACCAAAGAAGACTGCGTTGTCAAAGGCGGAGGTTGCCGAACGAATTGTCAAGAAAATGAAACGACTTCGGTACCGGACCATCACATTGGTGCCGATTGCCAGCAGTCCCATGACGCGTCGATACACCAGCTTGTATTGTCAAGATCGAATGCACAAGCAGTCCTTTGAGAGCTGCATGGACAAGACATTCCCCTCCAATCTCACCATTGCCCATCAAGTGCAACATTCCTTCCACATGCACTTGACCAAAACAAAGCGAGACTACTTGCGCAGCAGTACAAGCATCTTGGTGACGTTGCAGAATCCGGTCGATCGAGTGATTACAGCCTGGTCGGGCAGTCATCCGGCACATTGCGATCCCAAAAACCAACGTACTTGGAGTTGTCGACTCAAGGCAGCCGCCAAAGTAAAGGGATTCGAAGAACACGACCTCTTTGAGGTTTGCTTTCCCAAAGCGTCCATGGAAGACTTTGCACAGAGTACCATGTCACCGTACCAACCAATCTCGGGATTGACGCCCGAACAGCAATCCGCGTGTCGCGATTTGGCGTTTGGAACCGCTACGGGGTATTCGGAAACATCCAGTACTTCGGGCAAGTACAAGGCAATGCCTGCCATGTACTTTAATTATTGGTACTACCTCGAGAGAACTTTGCGTGCATATCCAAAGACAGAGTTCTTTGGTATTCGTCAAGAGAGAGAATGGAAGGATTTGCGGAGATTGAACATGTTCTTGGGGTTCAAGGGAGATGATGCCAACATGGCTGGAATGCCAGAACCAAAACCAACTCCTCTGGATCCAGAAATCTCTGCCCTTAGTACAATGGCGTACCGAAAGTTGTGTTGCGTTTTGTCGGAGGAAATTTGGCATTACCGCGAGATGCTCCGAGCTACCATCAACTTGTCCAACGTGCAGCCGACCATGGAAAATGTACGACATAAGTGTGGCATCATAACCTCATGGGGCAGTTGGAGGGCCGAGTGCCGACACCACCTGGAAAACGACAATTTGGAGCGACAATCACGGGCGGAGGAGCTTTCACCAAAGCCAGGCAAGGTGCACACCACGACGGGACGTGTGACGAAACCACGAACGGTGGAAAAGGCGACAAATAATAAGTTGGCATAAGAGGCGACAGCTCCTGCAGTTACATACGATAATGCTGCAGAATGGGGAGAGGGGGCACACACTTTTTTGGGAAGGAGATGGATCCGAAAGTGAACAACATGCCCAGGTGCAATTTTGTTTGTTTGATGTTGACCACGGCCAAAGAGCCGCAACCTGGCGCACTAGCTACCAGAATGCTAATCTGCTTTTAAAAAACACTGTTCTTTAGTTTCAGCCGACTTCTTCCTCTGCTGTCTCGTCTTCCAAAATCAGTCTTTTTGTTGTGGTGTGGTTGCCGATCCAGTCAGCTCTTCGGAATGGTTCTCTCTCCCTGACGAGAGATAGATGAAAGAGGTTCTTACTATGGGTTAGAGGGGACTATGGGGGAGAGGGGATGATGCGTAAGACAATGATAATTGCGTTACGGCTTGGCATTGCCGGTTTGTCTTCGCCTTAGTGGGCATCGTTGCAAGTGGGTTTCCACGCTTCTCAACGTGGCGAGGAAGGGAGGCCAAAATGGAAATTTTCATGCCACTTTTGTCCGTCATTTTTCTCTCAAAAACCATCAGGCTCTCTTGCTTTATTTTTGCGATGCCGGGCAGGTTGTTGGGTATCATCACTTGATGAAGAAGGAAGGAAAGCACGTCGCCAATAGTAGCTATTCCTTTTCAAGATCCTTCAGTCTATAGAAGCGCAATCAAAGTACTTGTGCCGATGTTCCTTGGGCTAGCGATATCTGGATCTTCGTCACCTCCACGGGGCGGTCAAAGCTCTGCAACCGGAAGGCTTTACCACTATCTCTGGATTTGCGGTGCGATAGTCACCCTTCACTTGGCATTTCCCTTGTTTTGGTTCATTCCAGATCTCTACGTGGCCGAACCGGAGACTGTTTCTGGATTTACACCATTTTTGGATGCATCCAGCATCCATGTACCGCCATCACAAGTGGAATCTGTCAAGCAATTTGATCGTACTGATGATGATTGGAAAGGATTCCATCCCAACCGAACAATTGCATTCGTCCATCTAGGGAAAGCTGGTGGCATGACGGTCCGATCTAGCACAAGTCTCGCGTGTCGGTTGGCCGCCAACTCCACAGAAGCGTTTAGAACTGCCTGCATTGACAAACACTTCCTTCCCAATGCAACGCTTTCTAGGCAGGTGAATTACTACTTCCATATGCATGCATACAACAAAAGTGAGCTCGAAGGAGCAACAAGTTACCTGTTTGTGTTGAGGCATCCCGTGGAAAGAGTCATCTCTGCTTATCGGTACAGTACACAACCTGTTGGAAATGAATCGAATCGCAGTACCAGTTTTGTCGTTTCCTTACGAAATCCTGCGGATCGCTACATTAGCTACTCTCATCCTGCCAACTGCCGAGGTGAAGTTCGCACAGGTCGTATCAAACCCTATGGCTGCTATTTGGAAAGGTTTCTGTATAAAAAAGGCAGCCAGGAGAATCAAGTCTTTGCCAAATGCTTCCGTTCTGCAGAGATGGAAACCTTTGCTCAAGCTGTGCTCTCTCCCTACCCTCCATTCAATACCAGCCATCTGGGTAAAGAAACAACCCTTAGATTCCGAAAGATGGCCCCTGGAATCTGTCGACGAATGGCACATCGTGTCGTAAGAGGGCTGGCACACGCGCAGTCGTTGCCCAATGCATTTACACGCGCCCTTCCACACATGAAGTATAACTACGAATACTACATGGATCACACCGTTTGGCAGAACCCCCAAAAGGAAGTATTTGGGATCCGTACAGAACACGAGTGGAACGATCTGCGTGCCATTGATTTGTCCATTGGCGGGTCTGGAGTCTTTCGGGGGGAAGGAAGGGCCATTTCACATGGGAGTGGAGGATATCTGCCATCACCGTTGACAACGGACGCCTACGAGAAGCTGTGCTGTGTGTTGGAACAGGAGATTGCCAATTATCAGGATCTGCTGCATCGCATCCAAAACTTGAATGATGCAGAGAAGAAGGCATGTATGGACAAGGTTCGGCAATCATGTGGAATTGGAGACAGGCCGCTGGAGGAATGGCGGAAAGAATGTCAAGCCAGAATAGAACATGACCGACCAGTTTGGCAATTGCCCCAAGCAAACAATAGGAGGGTCCAGCAAACAGCAACATGATTTCACGAAGGGTGAAGAAGCTTGTTCTTGCAGGTTTGCGTTGCACCCCAAAAAGAAGCTGGGGCACTGGAGCAACGCATACCCAGACTTTCATTGGGCATTCTGAAAACGATGAGCAGAGATCAGGGAGATAGATGGCATGATTCTACCAAACGATGCAACAAGGCACAATCCACAAATGCGCAAGGGCTGCTGGGAAAGCGACGACGCCTTCTTCCAGCGCTGAAAACAATGTCATCATGGCTTCGAGGAAGAGCAACTGACAGAACCTGGCGTTTGGGACAGGCCAAAAATGTTCTCTCCGCCAAACTCCCCTGCTGGTGTAGAGTCGTAAGCTGGCCAAAGTTGATTCCTTCTGGCTAGGTCACCAAAGAAAAACTTCATGCAATACTTTAGTTATAGAATGAATCAATTTGACTATTACCACGTAGTTTCAAAACGCATTCATAGGAAGGAGCCCAGACCATCAGTCAGGTACGTAGGTCGCAGCTACCATGCATTCAGGATAAAAGTGGATGTCTTTGAGTGCATGGCGCGAATGTCTTCGCTTGTTGAGCTTTCAGCCACTTGCTTGCAATCAGTTCAAACGTTTTGGTTTGAAAATGGCAACGCAGCAAGCTCATCCAACTTGCGCTGTAACACATCATCAAAGCGGTGAAACGAGAAAGTGAGGGTAGCCCGGCATTGCTCGTCCTTGTAGACAAGTGGTGTGTTATCGCAATGTTTACACTTGAAATGTCCGACGTAGTATCGGAGATGGCCTCCGCTGCGCTGACGCTGACTGTTTTGATAATAGAAGATGGGAATGGGTTCTGAAAAGGGATCTTTCAGAGAAGCAAAGTTTGCGCCCTTGCTCCTTTCTTTGACATACCATCGAATGATGAGCTCTCCCGTCACGCTGTCCGGGGAGGGCACGTCAACCCACCCTTGCTTGAACTGCAGGACACAAATATTTTTTTCTTGATCACTAGAGATGCCACATTTGTTCAGTCGAGACCTCAAGCCAAGATAGTCCAAGTTTTTATTGATAAATTGCATGGTCACACCTTTGGAATAGATAAGGTTTTCTTTGCCTGCCAAGAATGCATCATACGGGATAGGAGGATTGTCGCCAGCAGAGCGACGGCGTTTTGCCGGAGGTTTGTTGTCGCGGTTGTTGTCACCACGACGATTGGTGGCTCTGCGAGGAGCTGCCGGCGACACCAAGCCAGCAGCTGCTGCAACGGGAAAGTTAATAGCAGCTGGGGCGGTAGCAACAGCAATATGAGCGGTAGTAGCAACAGGGGCAGCAGCAATGGGGGCGCCTGTGGCAACAGGAGCAGTCGTAGCAACTGATGTGGCAGCAACGGGGGCACCTGTGGCAACAGGAGCAGTCGTAGCAGCTGGGGCGGCAGCAACATCAACATGAGGGGTAGTAGCAACTGGGGCAGCATCAACGGGGGCACCTGTGGCAACAGGAGCAGTCGTAGCAACTGATGCTTCTGCAACTGGG